AAGTTACCATGTCTGACATATCCTCTCATTCTCATTTGTGGTCCCCAACTCTCCTTTTTCACACACATAAGCAGCGACTGCACCCTGGAACCGGTGAGCCGCAAGCCCGGTCTGCGGTCCCCTCCATCGTGCTCTCTCCTCTGCTCTGATCAACTGCACGAAAACAACACTGGAGTAATGTGACGTGTGGTGGAGCTACAAGAAGGCAGTGTCGCTTCCTTGCGAATCCATGGCTGCGTGTGACGGTAGAGCTGCAAGTCGAGCCCACTGAAGAAGCTGGCAGCTGCGATGGACCGATGATAGGCGAGGATTGGGCCTAAGTGGAGCAGTTCATCCTCGGCCATACCTAGCAGATGCATGGGTCGATAGGATCAGGGTGGAGTGGATGGAAGTGACAGCTCACTGGTGGCAGAGATCAAAGGCAGTGGTTGTCGGCCAGACTTGAGGAAGGAACGTACAATTTGAGCAACTCAATGCACGGGACGGTGCTGGTGGCAGGATTGGATTCGCCTCGATGGTGTGGTCTTCTGGCGGACGGAGTCAGCACTAGGTGGTGTGGGGGCACATGTCCACATCAATGGCAGCAGCGACTCAAGCAGGAAAGGCAGCGACATAACGAAGAAAACGGTAGGAGAGGTGAGGTGGGTGTGCCCTGTGCTGGCTGCCAATTGGGCGGCAGCAGTTGGTCTCATCTTACTCGAGGACAGGAATGGAATGAAAGAGAGGGACCGCAACTGAGAATGAGAGGCTAGCCAGATGTGTTTATGCCAAATATTATTTTATTCGGTTATCCTCACTGAGATCCATGTGGACGTGGCAACAGTCAATGCGCCACGTTAGCAGGTCAGACGTGTTCTGGGCAGCATAGGACCAGTGATAAACAACTTGCAGACTAATTTGACACCCCTCGAACCAATTTTAGGACCTTTGGTGCATATCACTCGTATATATTTTGTACATACATGCATTTGGTGACCTTTCACAAAGTAATCATGTAATCAGACACAAATATTACATTGGAATAAGATTTCTTTCTGAATCAAGAATACTGTTGCATGCGATAGGTAAAGACATGTAGGAACATGAATGCATATCAAGCTTACGGATTATGAAGTGCAATGTCTAGGATTGAATATATGTTAGTAGCACTTGTATTTTCTTTTCATAGTCGGCTGAGGCCTGTTAAATTCATGAAACTGATGATGATATATATACTAGAAGCCATTCCTTACACCTAAATGTTTTCCTTTTTGACGATTTTACATGTAAATGTGAAAGTCACATTATCTTTCAATGTCAAATCACATGTTGATGGACTGAACTTGAAAAAACAAACTTTCTTGTTTTTTGGTGTATTTATTGTGAGGTTGATGGTTTCATTCAAGTGTGTTGATGTTTGTAGTCGATGCAAACATGTTTGTCCACTTGCTGTTGATGCGTAAGTCTCATCATGTTTTCTGTATTTATACAGAAAAAAGAAAAGGAGACTCATGAAGGGAGGAAAGCCAGTATGCTGATGTACGCTTGCCTTGGCGTATTCCGTAGTGTGGTCCCTTCATTGAAGCTGAAGCATGTTGTTGTTTTTGGTTTGTGCAGCCATGTCTACTTACGGACTTGATTGAAATCTAACCGTGATTGTGGACTTGTGCAGGAACAGAAGAAACTGATGGTGAGGGTTTAGATAGTTGGCACGCTAACGGCACTGGGCTGATATTTCCGTTTTATCACTTCATGCAAATCTGGCAGCGATGGATGACTGTACCAGCTTCCAAGGGTGCTGGGACGAAGGCATAGCCTCTTTTTGTTGGTTGACAAGCGTGTCTTGACACTCTTTTTTGTATTACCATCTTATTCAATTCTGATAGCGAGCAAGGGCCGTTCAAACTTCCAGGTGTGCTGGGACACACGCATAGGTTTTTTGTTGTGGTGGGCAAGCGTGTCTTGTCCTGACAGTGGCACCTTGGAGTCTTGTTAGCAATGGTGGTCCATTTTGGGAATCATGGTGAACCGCTAATGTCGGATTCTTGTAGGGAGATGGCAGATTTGCTAATTGGGTTTGTAACTTCTGGGAATAGCTGTTGCTAAACATTAATTTAAAAACAGGTTGCATGCACAAATGTTGAAACCTAAACTTCTGGGAATAGCTGTTGCTAAACATTATGGGACAGATGGAGTAGCACATAAAACGCATCTTTAATGCCTTAGAAGTGTGGAGTTACAACTTGATCGTATATGTGTTCTGTCTACCAGACCCAACCTGCTACACCAGCTAGTATAGCTGCTGGAGCGTTCCTTGAAGTGAATGATGTGTATGTTTTTGTTTGCTCTGCAGCTCGCTCGAGAGTTTTTGGACTGAATGCTGCAGACACAATGAAATGCAGTGTCTCTCCTCCGCTAATGCAATGCAAGTTCTTTTCTATTTGAGCTTTCTCTGATATCTGCTGCATATTCCCAAACACTGAGCCAGAACAAGATAAACTCCAAACTACATGTAAAATGGGGGCTGAATGTCTAGATGGACTGACTGGTGAAAAGCTGCATGTCCATGTCGGTTTCCGCCAAACAGACAACAAAAAGGGTGTCGCTCATACCGTTATACGGCTGGGGGGAGCAGAAGTCAACAGATTGTTTTCGACTGATCGAGTCGAGCATTGGTGGAGGAAAGATAAATAACTGAAGACTCTATATATGTTAAAAGTTGAAACTGAGCTCACATCACCGAAGAGCAAACAACATCTCTGATAAATTACTGAAGACTATATAGTACACACCTTTTTGATTTATTTTCCATGTAAAAGGAGCACGAAGAAACGTCCCTTTGTTTTGGCTTTAAAACGTGCAGATGAAGTTTAAAGGAGCACGAAGAAACGCCCCTTTGTTCTTCAGTCAGAACAACCTGACCACAAATATCCAACAGATCGTTCCATATGGAGTAGCCAGGGTATACTGGCAACGATAGGGCTATAATCTCTATACTAGCATGGCATGCGCGGCGGCACGCCGCGCCCGTCGATGTGTTATATTTATACAGATTGTATTATTTATATATAATGGGCATTGTTATATTTGTAACGATGGAACCGTTGATGATTAGAACCCAGAAAGAGTATATGTGATGGGTCCAGTAATATATGATAGAAAAGAAGTACATTTATTGCAGCCATGCACGATATGTACTGATAAAGAGAAAGGTACACACTAATACATTATTAATAATGTCTACTTATTGGCACTATAAACAGTCCATTTGGAAGGAATACATTTGTTATCACCATGAGCGCTACATCTTGCAAGATGGGAGTATACACTGTCATTTATTTCTAGCAATACTAAACACATTACATTCATTCACTGTTTATATCATTCTAGTGTAACCTCCTGCAGGATTGACACTTGTAAATAAACGACATGGAGCTTTTGCAAATTGTTGCATGTGACCTATAGGTGCATTAGCGCCAGTGTAAGAACTAATTAGATCACAAGTCTGTCGATGCTAGGGTACATATGGAGTGGTATGATACTCGAAAAATTGTCACATATCTTCGCCAAGATTTTAGTTTGCCTTATGAATTGACTTTGTTGAGCATTGTTATGTTAGCAAGGATGTTTCTTTCACATAGCAGCAGTATTTGATATCAGATGATAATTATGGTATTATATATTGTATAAATATATATTTCCATGTTGATCCAGTGTTCTTTATTTATGTTGGCTGCAAATTCTTATTTCTATATTGGACCGCATCATGTACTTGTGCTTATTTTATTTTAAAATATGATCAGAAGCATGCAAGTGTAACAGAAGTACAATCAATTAAAGGAGGTAACAGATGGAGAAGGATACCCTGGTTCACAACTTTTTCCTTGTAAGACCTTGTTTATCTATGTTATGCATGTATGTTATTATACATATTTACTGTAGAACTTGCGCTCCTCTTTTGGAATATTAAGTGCTTATATTTTTATATGGTCCAAAAAAGGGCTAAAGTTAAAAATGTTGCGTAGACTCTAAATTATCAGAAAAGATGTTGGCTAGAAAGGTTTTAAAGGTAATAGCATTATGTAAATTGGGAAAAAAATATAGCTAAGTGGCTTCTTATTTATAGTGTCATAAGAATGTAACGGAGGTAACAAAAATATTTGGGAGTACCAAAAATGACTATATATATTTTTGTAGAGTTAAACTTGCCAGCGAATTTGTTTAGCATAGAAGATAGGTATATGATATAAAGACAAAAGCTATGTTATTTGAAAGAGAATAACAATGGAATACATGATCGATATGGAGATGTAAAAACTGCACTGACGATAAATCGTGCTTAGTATAGAAAGAACATAGTTTAAGTACATATAGCATATTGCATGAACAAAAAATATATTTTTTGTCTTGATACCAAATTCACAGTTCTACAACGCCCTGTTGCGTCCTCCTGCTGGATTAGTGCCAGTGCTTGGGAAAATTTGTCGGATGCGATTCTTTAACGGACATGGACCGGTGTACGCGGTTATTGGGTCATCAGTGATTGGCGATGCAGATACACGTAGAGAGGTAAGATGTCGGAAATATTGTCACATTTTTTTATGACATATTTATCTGCCCTGTGAATTCTTCTCGATGGGAAGTAACTTGTTGACGTGCCATGTTAAACTGATACTGCTGCTTGGTTCGCCTGAGTTCTTGGGCTCTTATTGAAGTTCTGTTTTTTCTGCATCTAGAGCTTCAAAGTTATAACCGTTAATGCCTATGATGTCGTTGTTACAGAGGTAACCAGGCGCGGCCTCAGCGGCACTTTCCTCTTATTCATCCAGTCTTGTTGCTGCATTGCCGGTGAACGTTTATTTGTAGAGCTCATGGATGCCTGGTTGCTTTGTTATCAATGATTACCCATGCTTACACAGTGTTGTGTAGTCTTGTCCGATGGCCATATCGATAAACTCGTAGCTGACCTGTTAAGGCCAGTGCTATACAAGAATGTACATTTCTTTTTGTTACCTGGTACATAAAGGGTAGGAAAAATGAGAGAAGAAATGTGTTATTACGACTTCTTTTCTTGCGTCACTGGCTTGGCCTTTTTCAGCTTTGCTCGCATGATTTTTTTCTTGAGCCCGGGACCAACACAAATCCACGCCTTAAATGGCAAGCAGTCCCAGTAATCAGAACCACCTAAAACATCAGCACTCACCAGAAGCTACTATGAAAGCGGTGGTCATCTAAAACAGACAAAGAACCAACACGACACCGCTGACCACCGTGGATAGCAACACCAAAGTAACAAAACGCAACATGTCCACGGTGAGACTTTTTTGTGAAGAAACATGCCGAACAACACGCTTCAAATCCCCGCATCCAACACGCACGAACGGAAAAGAAAAATATATAGAACCGCTTACCCTAATCAGCCGGAGCACAAATCTTAGAAAATAACTCAAACACACACGTAGTCACATTAGTTCCTATTCTCATGCATGCACGTAGTCAAATCGTCTCCGGAACCTCAGCCCACCACTGCATGCTCACACGGGCGACAAAAAAGGAAACCACTAATCACACATTCTGAGGCTCTGAGCATACCCCCAAACTGGCCAGAAAAACAAATCACATGTACTCGAATTGACTCAGTTTAGCTGTATAAGTGAACCGTTTTCTCCATCGCGCACACTGCAACATGGCGCCATCTTCTTGGTGACCGTGGCTGTGGGCCTGTGGCCAAGCTAGCTAGCCGATGACCTCCAGGCCGAAGTTCTACTGGTGGATTCTGGTGACCTGCTCCATGGCTGAGCTAGCCCTTGAGCTTTTCGTGAAGAGGAGCTGCCACTCGTCCCCGAACTGGCAGCCGGACACCCCCGGCGAAGTGCAGGCGGACACAGGCGCAGACGAAAACACAGCCATCTACACGGAGCCCCCTCCTGGCGAGCACGGGCGACTCGAGAACCTGGAGAAGCTGGCCATCTACACGGAGCTGCTCTCTGGCCCGATCCTGCCGGAGTTCGGCGAGTTCCTTGCGCTGCCGCAGGCAGCGGTTGCCGTACATAATGGCACAACTGCCCGCTTCCTATTCCTCACGCTCTCTGAGACGCCGGCGAATGTTCTAACGGCCACCGCGCAAACGCACCAACAATCGTCGCGCCGCGAGCTCCGCCTGTACGCGCACTGCCGCAAGCACACCAAGCTCTGCCAACACCCACCGCCCACGGTCGACCTGTGAGCCATCTACACCGCCGTGACGCGCTGCATGAGCCCCTCCATGGCCTTGTACTCGCCATCGCAGAGTCGCGCGTGCCCTGCACTGGCCATCACCATGGCCGCCGAGCGCGAGCTCCGCCGCTTGCCGTCGGGACCTCGCCGACCGTCGACACCATCGCTTCCGGCCACATTGTCAGGAGGCCTCCCACAGCCTCCATCGTCGCACCATGCAATCGCCGTGCCTCCTGCCTCAGATCAACGCCCAGGCGGAGGAGAAGACAGACACAAGAGAAAGAAGAGGAGAGAGATCGCCGGGGAAATCAACCTCACCTGGACTTCTGCCCGTCGGAACGCCTCGTCGGTGAGCCGCAGAAGGCCGTCGAGACCCACATCGCCTGCTAGCAGCCGGCCCGGACATGTTGTCCAACAGTGCATGCTCCGTCACCGCGGCCGCAGACTATGGCATGAACGGCGATGTCTAGCA